TGGTTCTGCATTTCCAAGGGGAAGCATATGTCTCTTCCATTGAACTTCCCCGGAGTCAGTCATGGAGCTACAACAGGCTCGTGGGGAAGGGGCACCCGGCCACTGGATGAATGTGTGATCCTTCTTATATAACACATAGTTCCAATGTAGGAAATGCACACAATAAAAAATGGACAAGGTAGAATTTGGGCTTAAAAGCACCAAATAAGATAAGCAAGTTCATTCCATAATACTAAAGATAAAGCTCACAATGGAAGTGAGTATCTTTGTATGAAAGCAGTACTTTCTTAAAGCAGAAACTACAAGAGAGCCACAGAGAGAAACACATGAAGAGAACACATTAACACACCTCTCTAAGTCAAAAGCAGATCAAATACTTTAAAAAAAAGACACAAAAGGCCTAGTCCTAATTATATAGTCAGTAGTTAGATATTATGGATCTCTATCAAACTGGGAAGCAAACATCTACCTTCTTCTGAGCTCACAAGGACCATTCAAGAGTACTGATAACATATTAGGCAGCAAAGAAAGCAAAGAAATAGCTGCTAGTTTTCTAATCATAAGGAAATAAGATGGGAATTTACCAGAAATACACAAAAAGGCTCTTTGGCCGAGAAGGATGCCCCAGAACAACTCCTGGATCAAAGGAGAAACAAAGGAAGATAAAAACCCCAAGTATCAGGTTCTACAGCACAACAATGAAAGCAGTTTAAAAATTCACACCCAAACTAGATTCATATAAGTAAAAGAGAGACAGCAAATTAATAACCCCTGCAAAAAAAAAGCCACGGAGAAAAATAAATGATAAAGAAAATCAGAAGATCAGTTTTTTGACAAAAACAAAAACAAACAAAAAAAATTAACCAGGACAGGGCAATATTATTTACAACCACTCATGAGTAATTCTCAGAAATAAGGAATATCTGAAAAAATCCAAAGTACAAAATCCTAGAATTACAGATTTTGATGGTATTTATTATTATTTCTCTTCTATATAATACATAATTATCCACATTTTAGTTATTACATTATAAGAAACATACACAAATACTCCCATCTTCTTACACAGTAACACCCGTCTGTGTAAGTAAACCTTCATGTAATCTACATTCACTGTCTTGTTTTTGAGACAGGCTGGCCTGAAGCTCAAGACCCTCCTGCTCCAGCCTCCTGATTGCTGGGATCATAGACATGGGTAATGATTTTTCTGTTGCTTTTTCTCTTTTTGTTTCTGAGACGTTTCTCTACATATTCCTGGCTGTCCTGGGACTCACTATGTAGACCAGGCTGAACTTGCTCTGTAGACCAGGCTGGCCTCGTACTCACAGAGATCCACCTGATTCTGTCTCCTTAGTGCTGGAATTAAAGGTGAGCACCACCATTAATCTAGCTGATTAATGACTTTTTAAAAAGTTGAATCTACATTTAAGTATTAATCATAACTGAGAATGATGTAAACGCTATCAAGGCTATCACATGACCATGCTAAACATGGAAACACAATCTTCACTGGAATAAAAACAAGTGAAGAATATAGATATAGCCTACAAAAACCTAAGAAATATTTGAATTTCACAAAGTAAGTAGACTCATGCTTAGTTGCAGTAACCCAAAAGGATCCATCACTAAATTTACACTGAGACCACCAAATATATAGCTCTTTAATTAGCCCCAAGATTGAGGAACATTTCAGCAAAGAAACCATCGGGGGCTGGGAATATAGCTCAGTGGCAGGATAAATGCTTGTCTAGCATGTACAAGGCCTGGGGGCTGCATCCAAACAAAATGAAAACAAACAAACACATAAAGGTAGCTCAGAAAAATTGTCCTGTCATTCCCTAAGTATAGAACGTGCACTGTGTAAGACAGCCTCAACCTGTGTTCCCCTAGCAACAAATGAAGAGATTAAGCAGGTCTTTGCAATTAGAAAATATCCTACTGTCAGTTTGGCCAAGCTTAAGATCATTCTAGCAGTTTGTTGAGATTCTAAACTAGAATTTGAAATTAACTACATATTTCCACAGCTCCTCTCTGGCAATGCACTAGGTGAAAATTCGACTTTTTCAGTGGTAGTTTTATACTGTGCTCTTCAGAAAAAGTGAGAACTAATTTGACTCTCCAGCTAAAAAGATACATCTTTCTTCAGCCGGAATTGATAGAAAACCAAACAAAAGTAACAATGGTGGCAGACATATCTGTATCCTTCCTCAATGATTCTCCTGTAGGGGAGCTGCAAGGGACTTTGCTGGGGAAAGAAAAACGCACTGATGCCCCCTCCCCACTTCAGCTTCCAGGCAGAAAAGGCCTGTAGCTTAAACCCCGAGGAACCATCCAATGGACCCACTCTTGAGAATATCCATGCATATTTCCATCTAAAGCAACAACAGAAAGTCAGAGTTATGGAGCAATACTGAGAACATAGTATTGCCACAAAAGCATTGTGCAGCATACAGATGAACTCAAGCTAGGCTTTAATCTGCAGCTGGGAGATTAACAGTCAGTGACGTGAAACATCTGCAATAACCAAATGCCTTTTCAAATGTCAGCCAAGTCCTCAAAAAACCACCTGTGCATCTCTTAAATAAGAACTCTGATGATACTTAGGTGAACCAAGACATGTGATTATTAATTCTCCTTTACCCTGAGGATATCACATGGGGATAGATGACACTACAATAAATGAAAGACAAAACCTAAGGGAGGCAGGCAGGGAAACATGTAAGGTGATGACAGATGCACGTAATGTCACAACCACAGAACTCTGATACAAAACCTTAGTCTTCCCATTAAAACTCAAAGAGAAATAGGTCTGGTTTGGGTTTCAAATACTATATACTTAGAATAAATCTCATGAAGCTCTATATATTCTTCTTCCCCTAAACTTTCCAGGACCAAATATTGCTGGAAACCTCCCAGTCTTCATAATGCAAAGGACACTTGACCTGGCCAAAACTCTTAAGGTATTTATTTACTAAAAGACTAGTGACCAAGCTTTTGGCTCCAAAATCCTGCAAAACTCAATCCATCTGCCCTTCTACTTCCTTGATAAGAGGAGTTGACATCTTTTATGAATATGTGGATAATCATTGGACAGCTGTTTACAGCACCCATAGACCTAAGTATTAAAAAAAAATTAACTCACTGATCACTAATCACGAGATAAACTGTGGATTATAGCAGAAGAAACTGAGGCCCAAAGAAGCAAAGTCAACCTGTTTCAGGTTCCAAAGCTATGACAATAACCTGACCTGCTGCTTCTACATGAGTAGGATGTAGTAACTCTATGCAAACTGAGGGTGAATGAAGGAAGATGAAAGTCTTCCTAAATGGCCTGTCACTGACAGGGCAGCAACAGTCAAAATTATGTTTCTTCAGAAATAAAGATTCCTCAAAATCCTTTTAGATGACTGCCTCAAGATTTGACCTAGTTTCCCCAAAACAATGGGCCTCTTGACCAAAAGAAATGTCCACAGCTGGCTCAAATATCCTGATTTGAAATACATTTTGCATTAAAATCACCTCCCACAGTGAGGCACTCTGCCATCAAATTTCACACAGTGAATCTCTTGTGTTTTGTGACTCATAGACAGGAATTAGTAATTGGCACCTGCATTAAATACGAAGCAATGCCCCTTGTCCCCTTTAAAGGGGAAATAGAGTATCCATACCTTACAGCTATGGTTTCAAGCCTCATATTACATGAGAAATTTTGGACCTAGTAGTGATAAATGCCCTTAGAGGTCCCCAAGGATGATCTCCTCTTTTTCTTGGCTATTATGCTACCATGCACTGTATCAAAGTGACCCTAAGCATTTCCTGGAGATTGAAACATAACAGGGTTTCACTAAACTGTTACATAATAACGAATATTATAATTAGCAGTCAAATGAATGAAGTTGGAAAAAGCAAGTCAAAGCTCATTGGGCGTGTTTTCAGAACTAAGCGTCCAAATTGAATTTGTACAGAAATAAAATTGTGTCTCATAATGCAGTAGTTAAGTGTGTACCACTAGTCCTTCCCGATAATTAAAATCTGCTCTTAGTAAAGATCTTTCGCTTTCAAATGAGGAAAAAAAAAAAAAAAAAAAGAGGCACACACGTAATTTCTGCCGCTGTCATAAACAGCTGAATCATTCGCATAACCAACAGCCCAGAATTCTTCCACAAGCTCTCAGTTCAGGTTCTGCTTTTTGAAAGCTCAGAATGCAAAGCCTTCGCTACTACAGCCTGTTAAGACGAAATCACGGGAATCCCAAAAGATACTGACTTTAAACAGAGGCAATGTTACGGCCCATCAAACAGAAGGCCTGGGCTACGAATACAAATCACTCGGGCAAAGGAAAAACACACCATCCGAGGAAATGACTGTAAGGCCCGTGGGCTGAGGCCAGCCGCCAAGTGCCCAGGATATAGGGGTGCCGACTTCGCGCTCCCTGGGAGGTGCTAACAGTTGCCAGGCGCCAGGCTGAGTTCCAGGACCTACCCGTCCTGGCTCCCCCAGATGATAAAAGGCCCGAACCAGGATAAATTAATGAATCCGGTCCGCCAGGAAGGTGGCTTTCCCAGAGGAGCAGCGGACCCTGGCACCAACACCCGACCATAGGCGACGCGAGGGGGCGGGGGGAGGTGTCACAGAAGTCTCCGGGGGCGTGTAGGCGTTCTGGGCTGTTAAAGGGTGCCTGGGGGGTGAGGGCTACCGGTTCTTCGGGCGTGGGGGGGGGGACACGGGGGGAGGCGGGGGTGCCCAAGGCCTGAGGATCCTTGAAAGGTTCTGGGTCTTGCAAGTGTGTGCAGACTAGAGCCCCCTAGGCATGGCCCACGGGATGCGATGGTCCCTAGGGGCTGCGGGACCCAAGGCAGAACGTGGGCCACTTGGATGTGTTCTGAAGGATGTGGGAATCCAGGAAACCTAAGCAGTTGCGCGGGGCACTCTGCGGTGGCAGCCGGCTGGGCAGAGGACCAGGCACCAAGAACCCTAAGGGCAAGAACTCTGGTGCTCACCCGAACAGTCCTCGGAGGAAGGAGTGGGAGGCCTTCACTCGTTTCTCGGCCTCCGCCATCAGCTGGACCGCTTCTCGCTCCTTCCCTGCGTTGTCCATGTCGCCCGCAGCCGCCAAAGCCTCCTCCACCGACTTGCGATGCTCCCGGGACGACTTAACCCTTCCTCCAGCAGGTGCCGGCACGCAGGCGCGGTGCGTGGGGCCTGTAGGGAGCTGTAGTCCTAGACTCCATTATAGTGACAGCTGTGTCAGAAGCTACAACTACAGTTCCCAGAAGGCTGCTGGGCAGGGCCGGACGGGAGCCTGTCTTGAGGACCCCGAGTTCCCCGGGCTCAGGGAGGAGGGAGAAGGGGCGTGGCCCTCTGGAGGGGTCTTGTGCCAAGGTGGACTTCAAGGTTTTAAGTAGTGCAGAATTAGAAAATGACCGGTGGCTTCCAGGAGAGATAACCTAAAATACGCAGCATCAGGAATCACTGACCATGACTGAGACCTGGCAATGGGTAGACAGTTGACCAGAGAATGTTAAAAAAAAAAAAAAAAAAAAAAAAAAAAAAAAAAAAACCTCGAATGCTCAACCCATATGCAGGTACTGCAACTGCAAAACATAATCTAATGCAGCAGTTCAGCGCAATTTCGTCAACCATGTGGTGCCCCCATCTCCCAACTCTCCCAGAAAAGGAGCAACAGCTGGCCAAAAGAGTTATTTTTAATTTCTGAGAGCAAGACGTTAAAAATGCATCATCTTCCCCAATATAAATTCAGGGTTGTTTTTAAGCGTCCCCAAACTGCAACTTTCTATTTCTATTGGTCCTCTTGTTTAGAAATGAGTTGCATATCTTCCGTGTAGGCATAATCCACTCATTTTATTGACCGAATTCTGTTAAATGGCTATGAGCCAGTGAACTCCTTTATCCTTTACATAATGCTGGCCACAGTGGGTGGATCTTGACAAAATTCCTGTCTGCCAGGAAGATTTTTAATCTACTAAATATCCATAGATAGATGCAATCCTGTGCCAATGTCTTCTAGGCCTGTCCCAGAGGGAGCTGTTTTTTAATACAATGTCTAGACCGTCTAGGCTTGGCAGTGCTAATGTAGAGGTGGTGAGGCAAGTGGAATCACTGCCAAATGAGAGTTTCTGATGATTTAGAACTCATGGATACACTATGGGGACTGGAAAGCAAAACATAGCTAAAGAAATGAAGCCTACAGTTGCCTTCAGCCTACTGGCTATGGGTGAGATAGGACCTCTGTTGGTCTTTTCTGTATCGAACACACAGATTGCAAGCCCAGTGCCACTTTGAGATCTTTGGCAGCAATTAACTATGCAGCTCACACACGATTGAGCCTGTATGATAATGAGTATTCAGAGACAGGTAATGCCCGGGGGCACTCACCAACCTAAGACAGAGCACCTGTGTGGCCTGGGCAGGCGTCTCCATGACGGGTAAGGTGACCTGCTGACGTCCCACGCAACCCAAGTCAGAAGCTCATTTTTTAATAAAAGGGGGACCTGTAGGGCCATGGCCCCCGTTTTGGGGAAAAAAAAAAAAAAGAAAAGCCTATCTTCAGAGAACAAAGCAAGACAGTTCAAAGTCCTTGCACATGCAGCCAAAAGGTGTGCAGACACAACTGGAGAGAGGGAGAGAGAGAGAGAGAGAGAGAGAGAGAGAGAATGTGTACGTGCATGTGGTTGACACTGGCTGAATGTTTCCTTAATTGTTCCCCATCTTATTTTTGAGACAAGGTCTCCCATTGAACTATAACCCACTGCTTAGGCTAGACTGTAGAACGGCCAGCCAGTGGGTGAGTGGAATCAGCCTTTCCTGTCACTCCCCAGCACCAAGGTTACAGATACCATTGTGCCTGATCTTGATGAGTGATGCAGATCCAAATTCATCTCCATGCTTGTACCACAAGCTTCTAATCCACAGAGGCATCCCCCAACCACTCTTTCACTTTTAACATATGCATTCCCATTTAATCTTCATCCATAAACTTAAAAATACATAGACATCATCAAGGTGCAGATTTGTAGTTTATGTTTTTTTGTGTGCCAAGCCTTTAGGGCATCAGCTAAGAGGGAACATTTCCAATGCAAAGCACTCAGGAGATATGACTATAATTGTTAACTGCCAATCGTTGAACACATTAGATTTATATAACTCTTTCCCGTGGAGGCATAGCTGAGTTGTATGAAATTTGGCTTCTGTGGAAATTTTCACATCTGTCCTGAAAAGGAGGGAAATTGCTCTTATCTGGAACACCCTGCCACCAGCTGACTTAAGAGAATACTAGCAATTCTTCCTGATCAGTTGGAAGAGCTGAGTTTTCTACAGACTTGCTCTGCATTGGAATAATTGGCATTGAGGATACAGCCAATCCTTATTCCTATATTCCATGTTTGTAAATTCACTTACTTTATAACACTTGTGATGTTCTTGCAACCACTGTAAACATATTCAGAGTGGTGAAAGACATGAATGGACTGACATGTGTCTTCCAGCTAAGATTGAATACAGTGGCCTCAGACTTCTGGGTCCATTTCTGTCAATAAGCATCCCTTTCATAGCCTCTGTAGTGCCATAACTTTTCATTTTAGTGATTTTTTTTAAAGATTTATTTATTTATTATGTATACAGTGTTCTGCCTGCAGGCCAGAAGAGGACACTAGATTTCATTACAGAAGGTGGTTGTGAGCCACCATATGGTTGCTGGGAATTGAACTCAGGACCTCTGGAAGAGCAGTCAGTGTTCTTAACCTCTGAGCCATCTCTCCAGCCCTAGTGATTTTTTATATTGAAGGATTTTGTGGATCTCCAACTTGCAGATGGAACATTGTTGACTTTCAGCCTCCATAACTACATGAGCCAACCTCTACAACAAATCTCTCCATATGTATATGTAAATTTGTACACACACACACACACACACACACACACACACACACACACGCGCGCGCGCGCGTTCCTACTGGTTCTGTGTCTTCCAATTCATCTACTCTCTACTACCCTTTTCCAGGGCATTGCAGGGATTCCATCAATGAGTCTTGAATTTAGCCAACCATTCATAAGGGAGAGAGAGGTCAAGGGGTGAGTGCTAATACAGCATTTGTTTCCTAGTCCCTCCACAAAGTGGCCACTTGACACTCCCTGACTCTTTTTGGATTGTCCCTTTCTCCTCATTGTTCTTGCTTAGGAGTGCTGGCATGGGTACTGCTACCCAAAGAAGACTTCCCTGTCCCCTGTGTCCCCTGGTTCATTTGCATTTTCACCGTTATGTAGAATTCTATTTAGATCAACCATCTTGAATTTTCTTCCTTCCTTTTTTCTTTTCTTTTCTTTTCTTTTCTTTTCTTTTCTTTTCTTTTCTTTTCTTTTCTTTTCTTTTCTTTCTCCCTCTCTTTCTTTCTCCATTCCTTCCCTCCTTTCTTTCTTTCTTCCTTCTTTTCTTTTCTTGACAGGGTTTGTCTGTATAGCCCTGGCTATCCTGGAACTCTCTCTGTAAACTAGGCTGGCTTTGAACTCAGAGATCTACTTGTCTCTGCCTCCTGAGTATTGAGATTAAAGGCGTGCACTAGCACTCACTTTCCTGAATTTTTCTTATTGCTATCATGCCACTGCTCACTGCAAAGATCCTCATTGACGTGTTCCCAACTCATTGTATAAGTCTAGTATACAGTATTGTATACTAGACTAGTATTGTATAAGTCTAGTATGATCCTGAACCCCAAACCAGAAGAGAACAACATGAACGGAGAAACAAAGGGCAATTTCATTCATGACTATAATAGAGTATGAACCAAGCACAACACACATACCATGCACAAAATCCAGATGGATTGCTTACATACATGGAAATGCTAAAGTTTAAAATGTTTGGGAAAACGTGGAGGAAAGTAGCATTATTAAAATGTTTAAATAGCTTTCTGACCTTGACTTCCTAAGACATCAAAAATGCAAACCAGAAGAGAGAAAATCAATACATCCACTCCATTAAGGTTAAGAATTTCTCTCCTCCAATGTACCAAAAATAAAATGAAAAGGCAAGCCACAACCCAGAAAAAGATATTTGTAATATGTATACCCAAATCAAAAGAATCATCCAGGGTAAAGAAATCTTCCAAATCAATGGACACAAACAGTCAAATAGAGAGGAGGGCAGAGGCCTTGAACTTTCAGATTTAGAGGATTTCAACACATACTTGGCATTTAGCTTTCCCTGTTGATGAGCAGGCTCCACAGCTTTTCATTTTCTTTCAGAATAGGAACTGTTGGGAACTATTGTGGACTCCATAACACATGACTGTGAGCAGCACTCACCCTTCTATATGGTTACAGAGCCTTAGAATTTACTTTTTCTACCTGTATTTTTTTTTAAAAAAAGTTTTGTTTTGTGTTTTGAGACAAAGCCAGTGTGAAGCCAGGCTATCCTTTAACTCCCAATCTTACCTCAGCCTTCTGAATTCGGGGATCAAAGATATGTGTCACCACACCTGGTTAAAAAAAAGTTTAGATTAATAATTATTATTTAATTGTACACATTTAATGCATATAGTGTGATAATTCAATACACATGGAATGATCAACTCAGGGTGATTAATTGTCCATCTCCTTATCATTGTATTAAATTCCTCAGAGTTATTTATAAAATGCATACTAGGCTACTGTGACTACAGATACCCATTGTGCTGTAGATTTACTTTTTCTAACTCCTGGTGTTTTGGTGCTTCCTCTCCAACTTCCCATTTTCCCCTATTATTATTCCACATTTAGCTTATTAAGTGTGTGTGTGTGTGTGTGTGTGTGTGTGTGTGTGTGTGTGTGTGTCTGCATGTGGGTATGTGTACAAAAATGTAGGTGCTCAAGGAGGCCAGAGACGACAGATCCCCTGCAGCTGGAGGTACAGATGGTTGTGAACTTCCTGATGTGGGTTCTGGGAACTCAACTTGGGTGTTCTGGAAGAGCAGCAAGTGCTCTTAACTGCTAAGCCACCTCTCCAAGCCTGGATAACATTTTGTTGTTTTGTTTTAAGATAGGTCCTTATTATGCATCCCACAGTGACCTTCAATTCATGAGTCTTCTACTTTTAGAGCTCATAGTGCTAGGATTACAGGCATGTCCCACTAGGCCTGACAGGATATCATGCTTTTTAATGGGTACATAATAGCCATTAATATGTTGCATTTGTTGTCTCTCTCTGTGTCTCTCTCTCCCTCTCTGTCTCTGTCTGTCTCTGTGTGTGTCTCTCTGTCTGTCTGTGTTCCTGTGTGTTCATAGGGAGGTCAGAGGACAACCTCAAGTGTCGGTCCTCATCCTTCACCTTGTTTGAAACAAGGTCTCTTGTTTTTCCGCTGTATGTGCCAGGGGAGCCGGCCCATGAGTTTCTGTGATTCTCCTGTTTCTGCATCACATCTTTGGGTAGGGATGCCCTGGGATCACAGAGGCTTTACTACTGTCTGGTATTCCCATGGGTTCCGGCAATCAGAACTCAGATCCTTAGGTTTGAGTGGCAAGTGCTTTCCTTGTTGAGTCACCTCTCTTTCCATGTTCTAGGTTCTCTCTCTCTACTCATAGTTCGGACACAGGATCACATGTTAAATGTTTGGCCCCCAACTAGAGGCACCCTTTGGGACAGCTATTGGAATAATCTCTGTAACATGCCATTTACCTATGATCTGGATATTTCTGGATTTTAGTATATGTCTCTGATGTTCTTGCTGGTTGTATTTCTTTTTGTTTATGTTATTACCTTTCCCCTCTCCTGGACAATACTTGATAATCGTTCCTAGTATATATAATTTTATATTAGGTTAGAACTTTCTTATTTAGACAGAAGGGGGAGATGTAGTGGATATCTGTTCTATCTATGACTTGAAGCACCACCTCTAGAGATGTAGCAGGTAACTGTCCAACCTACCTATGACCTTGAAGTGCCTGCCCCTGGGACATGGCCTCAGGGCTACCCTTAAGACCTGAGATGCACATATGCCTTGCTCTTGTCTCCCTCATGGGCTTGGGTGCTGGGACGAACTCAGGCAGAAGAACAGTGTGGGACTGTACCTTGACCTTCCAGGACCCTATGATAAATCTCCTGTAATGAGTCTCCCTTTCTAATAAATTCCTTTACACTTTAAGCAGACTCTGTGGATTTCTTGTAATAGGAGCCTCTAGTTTCTGTATATGGGGAAGTATGATTAGGAACTGCTAAATTATTTTTAACATGGAAAGCACCTGAAGGAAAAAAATACTTAAGTTTGGGTGAAGAGGACAGGCTGCCACCAGCTACTCCACCCTGAAGTCCTTAGCCGGCTCTGCGAGAATGCTCTTTCTTGGCCTTGTGACTTCTCAGCTTTCTTAGTCTAGAGGAGAAAATGTACTTTGGGTCAATTCCAACCTGAGCCATCTGTAACACCACCGTGTGTCTCTAACATCCTGTGTGCCTGCTGCAGGCTTGCTTCTCAGGACCAGAAGGCATCTCTAGCCAAGGTCAGCCACATCCGTCTGTGGTAGTGCCAGAGATGAGGTCCAGGGCTGCTGTGGGGACTGCTGATGGCTTCCAGGGCAGTACTGTCCCACAGTCAAGCCTGGGATACTTGAGCAGGTGGCAGACTGCTGATTGTTTCTCTCATGGCCATCTTGGAAGGGTGCCTGGCAACCGGTTGGATCTTAAATAGATTTGCTTCCTGTCTGTGTTATATCCAGGTCAGTATCCTGCCAGAGCGGACTATTTGGGGTACAGAAATATATTTTTTAAAAGCATGGTATATTCTTGGTTATCAAAATACTCATGTAATGTGGGGTTTTTAGTTGGTAAATATTCCCTAAGTGTATGTACACTTGAAGCATCTAGAAGGACACATCAAGCTGAGCTGCTTGTGACTAGGCCGGGGGCGGGGCGGGGAGGGGGGGGGCTGTTCTTGGCTTTTTGCGTTGTGTTTCCAATAATGCACATATTACAAAATAAATAAATGCTTCTTTTAAAAGCTTAAGAAGAAAAGTCCAGAAAAGAAACCAAATGATACCAGCCTTCTTGTTTGTAAGGAATTATTTTATTTATTTACCCTGTGGGAAAAGAAGGTCCAGACATCAGATATAGGTATAGGCTTTTTAAAAGAGTGCCACATTGTGACTCTTCTCCAAGTTCTGACACTGTATTTATCAGTGGAAAACAGATGTCCCTTGGTACCCATGGGGATTGCTTCCAGGGGCCTCTGCAGATACCAAAACTCTGTGGATGCTCTAGCCCTCTTACAAAACAGCATAGTGTTTGCATAAGACCTGTACATACCTCTCTATCCTTTTCACTGCCCCTGCATCTCTTAAAATACCTAATAAAACACAAAGCTCTATGTAAGTATTCCATTTTTCAGGCACAGGCTTGGTCCAGACCTAATTTTTTTAGGAGTTCTCTATTCATATTTGACTGCCTCCATAGTTACTGAATTCACAGGTAACAGATGTCCGCTGCTCAGCTAGGGTTAAGTTCACAGGAAATAGCAAGGAGCCCCGAAGCAGCTCCACTTTTAACACTCCCTAGTGGAGGGTTCCTCTTCTTATTTATTTATGTATTTATGTATTTATTCTCCTGGCATGATTGGACACTGGCCAGCCAGCTTGGAAATTGAACCCAGTTCCTCTGGAAAATCAGTCAGTGCTCTTAATCACTGAGCCACCTCTCTCCTACACATTTATTTATTTGTTTGTTTGTTTATTTATTTATTTTATTTTCTTATTGAAATAGGTGCCACACTAATGTCAATATGAGCCCTGATGTCTCTTAAGCTACAAATGCTAAGTATATGTGCAATTTATAATTTAAAATTCTCAAGCATCTATAATACTTTAGTTGTGAAATGTAACCTAGCAAAAGCTCATGCGTTAAAGACTTTGTTGCCGTCTGATGGGCTTTGAAGTCTGCAACCTCAGTGGATTATTCTATGGATGCACTAATAATTAGATGGCGTGATTAGGAGGTGATAAAAACTATGAGGTGAAGTTTAATTTGAGGAAGTAGATTAGCGAGGGAGCATACCCTAGAGGAGTATTTATTTCCCCTGGAGCACGATCTGCTGCTTTCTGTCTGTGTCCTGCCTGCCATATTAATGAAAAGCCAGCACGTCATCCTATGAGATACTTACTTTTATGATTACATGCTAGAATTCCAGCTAAAGAGAAAGTGAAGCCAAGAAGGTGAGGCAACTGGCCGAGCAGCCATGGAAAGGAGTACTTTTTTCTCAGCTGCATGCTCTTTTCAGCAGCTCTCCTGCACCTTTCAGGGTCCCCCAACTGAGACCAGGACTAACAAGTGCGAATGTCTAGACAGGGCTGCCAGGTCAGGATATGGTCTATCCTGTTGCCTAGACTGGAAAAAGCCCAGCATTCTTGATGTTTGCTAACTGACCTCATCATGGAGCAAGGGCACTCCACTTCAGGTTTCAAGTGAGAGGTGGAATACCGTGAGCAATGCCTTTGGACCAGACTGATGGGTGGTTTAGTGCAGGTCCAGGAAACCTCAGTCAAGGTCAAGGAGAAGCCTGAGTAGTTTATCTTTATGGGTGGGGTATGATGTAAAGGAAAGCAGCATCAACAAGAAGGACAGACTAGGAGAATGATGACTAAAAGCTGCAGCCAGGAAACCTCCTTGCCTGCAGACTGCTCAGTCCACACAGCAGTGCACACTGCCTGTGGTGATAAAGCACATTATTTTTCTATTTCTTGCTTGTTTTCTTCTGGGAGCTGGACTGACAAATCTCAAACCTAGATGTTCATATGCAAAATGAGGAAGTAGTGCAACTCATGCAAGTTCCTTGAGGGACCTAAACACCACTCAACCATTACAGACAGATCTCGGATGAACCCCACCTATCTGCCGGGTACCACTCATCCATCAGGGGCCAGGTTACCAAATTTTGTTCATCAGATAGAAGGCCAGATTTGCTAAGCATGTTGGAAAGATTCCTTTTTGAAAAAAGAAATAGCTACCTAGAAGCTGTCTTCCTTTAGGTGGTGTGGCAAATGCTAAGATGGCTTGGGTACAGGTAGGCAAGAGGGGCTATGGGGCAGGCTCACTGTGTTAGTCTTCTGATGGCTTTGGCCAAAGGCAATCCTTTTTCCCTCAGCCATAAGCATAGGTCATGAAAAGGAGAACAGTGGTGGCAGGAAGTGTCTTCTGACTGATTGCATATTCCGTAGGAAGTACTTTGGGTAGTGTCACATGCCTTTTATCTATCTACCTAGCCATTCACCTACCTATTCACCCCCAATCCATCCATCTGCCCATTTACCTATCATGCATCCATTTATCCCATACACTCACCCATCCATCCATCCACACCACATTATGAGTTGCAATTGACAAATAATCACATGCATTTATAGTGAACAATTTGAAGTTTTTAATACTTGTGTTCACTTGCAGAATCATCACTCACTGAAATCTACCCAATGAACGTATCTATTATCTAAGTTTCTCCTCTCTTTGACATTTCCCCAACCCCATGCTCTTTTCTTCCTCTGTGGATAAGCAGATCCCACATTTTCTGCTATTCCATGCTATCCTCTGTTAACAGGACCAGTGAAACTCTTTTCCTCTTATTCCACATATGTACTCATGTTTCTGATTTCCTTATATCCCCAGACATCTACAGTGTCTATTTTCCATGCAAACAGTCTGAGCTCACAAGTTTCCATTTCATAAACAATATAGTCTCCCTGTTTCATAAACAACATAAGGCTTAAATATTTCCTATTCATGAATTTTCCCAATAAGGCCTCATCCCATCCCATGGATTTTTCTCATGTCCTATGGACAAGACCAAGGTCCTTGTAATTGCCTCTTTACATGGATCCAGCCAAAGTTCATGTTTCTCCTTTGCTATGGGTGGAACAAGACCCCTGTAAGTTCCCCTTTAGTCCATGGAATTCTCAAGTCCCCATCTTCCCTATAGCCTGTAAAATTACGAGGCATTTTACTTCCACTTTCATAATGTGCAAAGAGCCTTATTTTTCCCTTTCCTTTGGGCGTGGCCAAGCTTAAACATTCTCCACAGCTGCTTGGACATGGCCTGTCCATGTGTTTCTTTTCATTCCTGGATGTAACGAGGCTGTCATGCTCCTCTTATTTCACAGCTATAATCAGGAATCCAGTTTCCCAATTCTGTGAACATAACAAGCTCCTTCTTTTGTCCTCATTGTATTGTATTTCACCTGGCCCCTCTTAATTCATGGTCAGGCTCCCAATATTCACCATATTTCTCATACTTATGGTTGTGACTAGGGTCTCTATTTTATATTTATTCCACAAATATAACATGATCCCCACTTCCCACATATCCACGGACATGTTGGTACTCTATATCCCCTTAGTTTCTTGACACTAAAATACTGCCCATTTATTCCATTGATACAATTAGGCCAATTATTTCTCCTTTATTCCATGGTTTTAACTAAATACCTGTTTCTCCCTCATACCGTGGATCTTCCTGGTATTGTTCAGGGAAAACTGGATCAGGAAACAAGATGCCTGAACTGATAGGGGCCAGAAAGCAGTTTAATTTGCAGTGTTGACACACACAGGGTCAGCAGAGGCCGGTTTAAAAAGCTGAGCCCCGGGGCTGAAGAGATGGCTCAGCAGTTAGGAGTACTTGTTGCTCTTGTAGAATACCTGGATTCAATTCCCAGCACCCACATTGGTGGTTCAAAACTATGCATGACTCTAGTTCCTGGGAATCTGAAGCCCTCTTCTGACTTCCTCAGACACCAAGCACACAAATGGTACAATACATACATCCAGGCAAATAGTACATTCACATACAAAAAACAAAATGTAGAAATACAAAAGAAGAACATGAGCCCCAAGTTCAGTTAAACAGATTGTTTTATGCCCATCTGTCCCCCTTCTGGGCTCCCGACATAGCAGTCCTGAGTGACATATTTTTGATTGTCTATATTTAGCTTAATTAATAGAGTTTGTTGAATTGTCCCACAAGCAGAATCTCCCCCCACCTCAAGCAGCAGAGTTTACTATAAGCCATTTATAGCACAGAGGGGAAAGGGTAGGAATTAGGCTACAGTTGAAACATCTACTCTATAGTGACCCTGGCTTATGCAACTGGAGTGTTCCAAAGCTGCCATGTCTGGAGCCGGACAGTTCTAGTACTTTATGGAGCACAGTATGGATACCATGATGTATCCTAGCAGGATTGTACACTGTCACATGGAGAGTGGCTTGGACAAGAGCTAGGAGTTCCATAGACAATAGTTCCAGCATATGAATCAGAGTCAGGGAAGGATCACACAGATGTTTATGAGAAATCACCAAAGGCAGACACAGGAGTAAGTTCTTTGCCTCCGTCCATTTTCATATTGTAGGGATGTCAGGTGTGGTGGCACATGCTTTTAACCGCAATATGGGGCATAATCAACTGGATCTCTGTGAGTTTTAGGCCAGCTTTGTCTATAAACTGAGTTCCAGGCCATCCAGGATTATGTAGAGACCTTATTTCAAAAAAGAATAATCCATATTGTAGGGAGATGAAAAATCTAGGCTCAGGGAGATTAACTAGCCCAGAATCCCCAGAATATATCTGGATAATAAAATGTGTGTGTTGTCTGCCATATGACTCTGCTTCTCACTGACTAGTATTTAGTTTTGAATATTTTAAGTTTTAATTAGAAATAATATGACTTGCAAAAAGGCTGAAAAAAATGTAAAATCTGTCCTAGGCCTTAACCTCCCCAAACAGTGGCATAATCCTAGGATAAGTGTAAAACTCAGAAGCTAATATTTGACAATACACTGAATTATATTCAGATTGTGGGGGTGCGGTGTGGGGAACTGGGGGTGTATGAAGGCCCAAGGCTGCTGTTGTGTCTTACTGCATTACTCTCCACCTTATTTTGTGAGGCAGGGTCTCTCGGTGAACCTGTAACTTAGCATTTTGGCCCCACTGATTGACTGGTGACCCCTAGGACTCACCTGTCTTTGCTCCCCAACACTAGGGTTCCAGATGTTCACAGCCAATCTGTCTTTTATGTGGGTGCTGAGGAATGAACTCAGGTGCTCACGCTGGCACTGAGCCATCTCTGTAGCCCCCAGGTTTCTTTGATTCTCTTACTATTATTCTTTTCCTGGAGCAAAATACAAGGCTCTTTAATGAGCTCCTACACACAGGCGGCCCTGGGCAGGGCTGATTTCTGAGGAAGGCTCCTGGCTGATTTCACATGGGGAGATTGGGGTTACCTCACAAAGCTCTACTGGGTCACAACAGGATTACAAGTGAGACTATGTGAACTTGCCAGCCGAGTGGGAAACAGCAGGGAGAAATCTGTGACGGGTGGGAGGCAAGTGATTAAGAGGAACCTGACCGAAGAACACAAAGAGATGTTGGTGGCTTGGTAAGATGGTTGGGATGTACTCCCAGGTTCCATGTGGTTGAGTCCCATGTCTCAGTTCAAATACGACTTTCCATAAACATTCACCCACTGCCATACATAGTGACCTCTGTCTACCACAGCAGCTTTTTATTGCAGAGCTCTGAACAGGTCTGCTCTTGGGATTTCTTGCACACTGCATGTGCGGGCAAGGGTAGGGACTCCCCTGGCTTGGCAGTGTGCAGAGACAACCCCCTTACCTGGACTGCTGAAGAACAGAATGTCATTGCACATGGGGGGAACACTGCTGGGTAGCAGGGTGTGTGGCCCCCTGGGAAGCTTTCCATGGGTAGTGTCCTTAGCACCGTGGAAAAACCAACTTGAGATCTTAATCCTTTGCTTAAGTGCAGGTGAAGCTGTCTCCCAGGAAAGCCTGTGCTGGTAAGACTGCTGTGGCAGAGCGAGGCGATAGTCCCTGCGCTCCTACCCTGGCAACACCGCAGAGAAGTGCCTTCTGAAGCTGTGGAGATGAACGCCAGAGGCTTGAGGATCCCCTTGCTGCTGTTGCTGGTGACTGTAGTTGCAATGGCCAATGTGACCTACATCCAAAGGTGGGGGGGCTTCAAGGAGAAGGCCACAAGCACGAAAAACATGAACTCTACACTCCATTTCTTCATCCAGTTCTACAACAATGCAAGCAACGACACCTACTTGTTTCGAGTTCAGAAGCTAATTCAAAGTCAGATGCAGGTTTGTGCCTTGGACATCAACGCAGCCCCCATCTTGCTTTTTCAGACATATGGGGGTTCTGACTGGGCTCCCGGGACATTGGAGAACCCATAACTCTTTGGGGAGCGTCATATGCAGTGGGTGCACTTGACGCTTCTGGGCTAAGCAGGTCCCTCCGTCACTACAGCCACATAATCTAGATGGCCCTAAGGTCTGGAGCCAATCTAACTCCCTTCCTCTTAGCCAAAAGCTGGTTTGTAGAGGTTCTCCATTGTTCCAGGGATGGGACTGCATTTCATTTTGCCTACCAGACAGCAGCAATGGGGCTGGTTTTGCTTTCTTTAATGGTTTTGTCTGGACAAAACATGAGCACTCTCTGCAGAGTCCTTATTTCTGACAGCATTTCTTTTCAGTGTCCAGGACTGTAAATTAGGACTGCATTTTCTGTTTGAGACATCTAGAATCACAAGTCTTTGGGGATAGCAGTGGGGAAGTAGCAGGGAATGAGCCAAGGGGCTTCAGTCAGGTAGTTCCACCCCTTCTGAGGCAGAGTCTCTGCATTTAGCCCTGGCTGGCCTGTTTCTCTCTACCCTCAACCTCCGGCCTTACCCTACTGAATGTGAGTGCTAGGATCACACATGTGTGTCACCGTAGCTTCTCTTTTGTTTTACACACAATTTTACACATATATTTCTTGTGAATTGTATCACTTGAAAGATGGTAGAGGGGAGGATTTGTTTGAAAACTGTTGATCCAATGTCCCCTCAAGGTCAGATAGTAAAATTTGTAAATCAGTCAGAAACGATATTACATCCTAGTTAGGTTTGGGGAGAAATAATTCACTAGGAGGAAAGACTACTGGAGATGAGATAATTGGAGGCAGATGGAACAGGAGTAAGCAGAAAGAGGGGAAGGCATGGGAGTCGGGTGGCAATATTAGTGTTATATCCAGGCCAGAGGATTCCTAAATCCTGGCACAGACATTTCCCGAGGATTCCTGGCTATTACGCACTATGACCACAAGATGGTGCTGTTCTCATCACAGACATTCCCGGGGATTCCTGGCTATTATGCACTATGACCGCAATATGGTGCTGTTCTCACCACAGACATTCCCGGGGATTCCTGGCTACTATGCACTATGACCACAAGATGGTGCTGTTCTCATTTGACTTTTTGACTCGAATCAATTTCCTTTAGGTACAGCTGAGACCAATTTAATGCGTGAAACCAACCTTTTACCACTAACAGTTAACTGGTCAAGAATAGTTTCTTAAAAGTTATAAAAAAAACCTTGATGTTACTTTAAGTGATAAATGGACAGTGCGGGCTTGCTGATGGGAAGGGGAGGATCATGGACACAGGTTTCCAGATATCTCAATATCCGGATGTGACTTTAAAAGCCTCAGTGCGGCAAAGAGTGGGTCATAGACAAGCATGGTGGGCTGGTGGGCCTGCTTTCAACTTTCAGCTGTTCCCAGCTGTGGGATCTTGGTTAGGTGTTATCTAGACTCCTTCAGGACTGCTTCTTCACCTGCAAACTGGGTCAGAACAAGCAACAATTTAGTGCAATGCTGCCACACCTAGTAGCACTTGTCAAAATATTTACTGTTATGACTGTTCATATTCTGGCTAGCACATCATCTCACACTGTCCACTTCCCCAGGAGAAAACAGATTCTGGGCACAGGGGGTATCAAGTGGAAAGCTCCTGGGAGATAAAACAAGATCTTTAGCTCATGTCATTCTTCTGTCCTTGGCTCTCCCAATGTCATAGCTGGTCCACACAGTTGGCAGAAACATTTAGTAACTTAAATATTTGAATTCTCTTAAGCTACCATTGTGTGGCTTTTCCTGGGGAGACCTGAATCAGCATCTACTTACTACAGACAGGGCGCTAACAACACACCAAAGGAATGATTCCAACTAAGTCTAGCTTAGTTTACCGGTGGGGGATGCTTAAAAAAATATGGAGGACTCAAAAGCAGCTATATCACCAAAAAGCCTATCCCAGTAAGGGTGATGGCTCAGGATGATGACAGCATCTCAGAAGTTCCTGCAGGTGGCTCAGCTAGCCCAAAAGTCTCCGCAATGACCTTGGGTAGGAGGCCTTATAATCTTGTTTCATTTGATTGCTGAATCTTATGAGCCAGCCTCCACACTCCAGACGGAATGTTTCAGTTGGGAGGAAATAGCTACACAATAGGTTGGTTTTTATGCATTAGTGGAAGTGCTTCTGTTTTGTCCACAGAATCCACAAACAGATCGAATGATTATGTGTACCTTTCAAATGAAGAAATGGAGGCTGCTATATTACTTTCTCAAGGTTTCAGAGCTAATATATGGGTAGTGAATGTCTGAAATAAATTTGACCCCCAAGCTCATTTTTAAAGATTTATAGTTTTATATGTATGAGTGTTCTGCCTTCAAGTATATGTATATAAATGTACCACATATACACAGTGCTTGCAGAGACCAGAAGAGGGCATTGGATGTCCAGAAACTGGAGTTGCAGGTGGTTATGAACTGCCATGTGGGTTCTAGGAACCAAATTTTGGTCCTCTGCAAGATCAACACATGCTTTTAAACCATCTCTCTAGTTAACATTTAGATGTGTTGCTAAATTGTCTACTTTATGATTGGCTGGGAAGGAGAGTAAGGAGTGAGAAGACTGGGAAGGAATAGGGCCAGATAGCTCAGGACATTATGAGGACCACAGTGGTCTGTTGTTACCAGGCAACCCAGCTTGTCTTATCATGACAATGGATGGGAGACAAGAAGCACTAAGTGGCTGCCACAGCAAAGTCCAGAGCAAAAGATTGTGGCTGATTAGGAACTCTAGTTACCATTGAGACTCACTCAATGGGAGGGGAAGAAGGAGCTGAGTTTTGATGGATGAGTTCTGGGAAGAGGGGTCATGCTTAGTCCTTCTGGAGAGGGTCAGACACTGGACACTCAAGTGTGGAAATTAGCAGTGCAATTGCTCCTTTACAGCTGACCACAGGAGTGGAGTATTTCATCACTGTGAAGATTGGCAGGACCAAATGCAAGAAAAACGAGACAAAGAAAGCTTCCTGTCCTCTGCAAAGCAGCAAGATGAAAAAGGTGTGTTGTGGGAGTCCTCTGAGAAAGCCTCAAGTCCAAGGATGGGGAATGAACATCTTCAAACTGAGAGTCAGGGCCAGCAAATGCCCAGCCATAAGGTTACCTGACAGTTCTTGGTGCATCCAAGAAGGAAGAAGGCTGTTGGCATGGGCAGTCTGGCCACCCAAGCAGGCACAGCCCTGGACCTAGGCTTCTGCTTCTCCCCACAGAGCTCCAGGGTACAAGCATTGTTTGTTCCTTCTCAGGGCCTTTGTTATTATCTTGCTTCCATTCTTTGGGGGCACTGAAGACTGTCCCCGTCTCCTCTGTGTCTTCTTAGTTCTATTGTCCCTTTCTATGTTGGCTGGTCCCTTGTTGGGGCCTCTTTCTGTCCCAGGGTGTAGGTGCAGGGATGGGAGGAGAGAGAGGGCCAGTACCCCTTCCTGGAATCCCAGATCCTCCTTTGCCTGGGGCTCCAGAAGCACCTGCCATGCATCTCAGAGGAGCATTTCCTTTCTGGGTTCTCCAGGGCCTGAGGAGTTAGAGCCTTCTCTTCCACCTTTGAAAACTATTTTTCCCCAAAGCTGATTATCTTCCTTTTTCTTCCACAGAGCCTGATTTGCACATCACTGATATACACTGTTCCCTGGGCAAACTACTACCAGCTCTGGAACAACTCTTGCCAGGATCACAGAGGGTCCATGTGAAGAGCTCCTACTGACACCCAGATGCCTGTGTTGTGTACTGGTTTTTACAGAGCTCTAAGAGGACTTGTGCTTCTCTCTGGGGGTGTATTCACACACACACACACACACACACACACACACACACACACACACACACACATGTTCACTCACTCTCACAACACTGACACTCAACAACATGCATAGTAGCAGCACCTTTACTGACACATGTACTTTCCACTCACATACACACAGGCATGCATACCTCTGCTCTCATACACTTACAGTCACCATGCAAACACATATACA